CCGAGGAAGCCCCCAGAGGACCCCAGAACACGCCCAGGAGGCCTCCAAAAGGCCATGAGAACGTCTGGCAAATTTTGTGAGGCCCCCAGGGGCTCTCCAAGGAGGAGCCCCCGCAAAAAAGAACTGAGGAGGATGGGGAGAATGCGCGGGGTGTGGCCAGAATGAAGCAACAGAAGCATGGAGGAAGGATAACGAATAACATTATGATAACGACGATGCCGGAAAATGGATCAAGGAGTTATCGCTAAATTGCCGGTTTGACCTTCCTGCCACCCCGCCTGCATGCCGAATTTTAAGGACCATGGTGCATGGCGCGAAGCGCCAATGCAGTCTTGTATATAGATATATATCGTCCAAAATCCGCCTGAAGAGGACATGCCCGACCTAAACCTAAGCCGAGATCGAGGACACCCGCCAGGACTGCGCAGCCCACATCCTCGGAGAACTCCTGCGGCCTCCGGTGCGCACAGCTCGGGCCTCCGGCCCCCGCCGGCCGGCGTTCGCTTCGGGCCCCCCCCGGACCGCTCTCTGTCGGCGAGGCGCAGCTGCGGTCGCTCGCAGGCTCTGTTTCTCTGTCGGCTCGCCTATAGGCCCACTCGGGGGCAGACAGAACCCCCAACAGTGACACGTCGATTAGTGAATTGTCCGTTTTCGGCTCTCGAGAGGGCGCCGCGGCCGTTATTTTCCAGGCTTGCGCCCGCCAGGTTTGGACCTCAGGTCGTTTTCACAAAACCACGTTTTACTAAAGGGAGGTCTGTCCATCTCCGACCCACCGAAGAATGCTCTAAGAACCTGCTGTGGCCTTCGCGAGATGCTCTTTAAAAGCATTTCTGGCCGAGGCTGCCTTGCTTTAACGCATCGGGTCAATGTTATGAAGACGTTGTTCTGGTTGTTTGAGAACTTGTGGGTTCTAAGAGCATGTCGTGGTGGGCCTATAGGAGTGCCGGGACGGTCGGTCCCTGCTCAAGCTGGACAGCACTCCCGCGGCTGGAAAACCTCAGAGAAACCCAGCGAGCGCGACGTCCGAGAACCTCGAGCCTCGATTCCGAGGAAGTCGGGCTGTAGTCCCATCCTCCGACCCCGCCCATCCGGACCCCCTCTGGGAGGCCTCTGGAGATCGGGGGTGGACAGACCTCCTACCCTGACTTTTTGTTCGGCGGGTCGAGAGCGGGCCTCTTCCGGTTAAGAGCTAGGCGGGGCGCGCAAAGCACTAATTGGGGAGACAGGGCGCACCTCCTACCCTGACACGTCGATTAAGGAATTGGCCGCTTTCGCGTCGCGGCCGTCATTTTTGCGGGTCCAGGTCCGTCGGTTTTAGTCCCAGGCCGTTTTCCCTAAGGGGAGGTCTGCTAAAGGGAGGTCTGTCCACCGCCGAGGAGATATGTGTAAGGCCGGCGACTTCTAAGAAGCAGCCCTCTTCTAAGAAGCCCTCCCCCCTCCCTCCACCCCCTTGTGCGCGCCGCCAATAGTCCGATCCTCCGACCCCGCCCACCCGGACCCCACCTGGGAGGCCTCACTAAGGGGAGGTCTACTAAAGGGAGGTTTGTCCACCGCCGAAAAAAAGCACATCCCGGCCTTTTTCCCTGATTGGCCGCCCAGGCCCGTCAGTGGGCCCCAGAACCACCAAAGCGGACCTGGGGCGAGAGGCTACAGTGGGGGCCCATGCCAAGAGATACCCTGCTCGCTTCGGGGTGCCCTGGGTTTCGTCCCAGGCCGTTTTCACTAAGGGGAGGTCTGCTACAAAGGGATGCCTGTCCACTGCCTCTGGAGCTCTGGGGCCTTCTCTTCCTGGCGCGGCGGGGCGCCCAGCTCGGCGCGCCGCCCCGCCGATCGAGCGGAGGGGGGCGCCCGCCGCCCCGCCGGGCCGCGGGCAGGCGCCGAGCGGGGGCGCCGCTCGGCCAAAGTCGACGTCAACGTCGTCGTCGTCGTCGCCGTCGTCGTCGTCGTCGTCGTCGTCGTCGTCGTCGTCGTCGTTGTTGTCGTCGTCGTCGTGGAAGATTCGTTTCTGGAGAGTGACGGTCCCTGGTCCATGGGAACGGCTCTGTTCGCTCTCACCTCGACGGCTGCATGTTCTCTGAAGGCGACGCTCCCGAACGAGCGCGGGCTTCGCTCCAACGCTACGGCTTCGACGACAATGGCTCCCGCTCGATACGTCCTCGTAAGAGACGCCCTGGCCAGAGAGGCCCCCCAATTCAGGAACGGCGCGTTCGAGATTTTTTCACAAGTTACTCAAATTGGGGAAAGCCCAGCTACAACGCGAAGGGCTCCCGCTCGATGCTTCCTTGTATCATTTATTCGAGACGCCCTGGCCAGAGGCCCTCGAATGCAGGAACGGCGATCTAGCCAGAGATTTCCGTGCAAACCAGTTAGATTTGTGAAGGCCCAGCTACAATAACAACGGCTTCCGCTGGATACTTCCCCAGAGTTTACCCAACGATGCCTTGGCCATAGAGGTCCCCAAACTCGGGAACGACGCTCTCGCTCGAGACATCCTCGCGCAAATCATTCAAATTAGTGAAGGCTGGGCTGCGACGACAATGGCTCCCGTGGGATACTTTTTCGTAATGTGTATTGAAACGCCCTAGCCAGAGAAGCTCAACTTGGGAACGGCGGTCTCGCTCGAGACTTCTTCGAACAGACAAGTTTGTAATGGCCCAACTGCGACGACACCCGCTCCTGCTCGATACGTCCTCACAGTTTACCCCGAGACGCTGTAAATAGAGATGCTACACAACCTCAAGAACGGCGCTTTCAATTAAGTCTGGAAAATACCCGCTGCAACGAATACTGCTCTCGTTCGATGTCCCCTCAACCCCAAGACGCCATTGCCACAGAGGTCTCCAATGGAGGAGCGGCGCTCTCCCCCGCGACTCCCTCGCAAGTCACGTAGGTTGGTGCAGGCTTGGCTGCGACGACACCAGCTCCCGCTCGTTAGCTCCACACGCTTTTACTCCAAGACGCCCTTGCCAGAGAGGCCCCTAGTAGGAACGGCGCTTTCGCTCGCGTTTTCCTGGCAGGGCATTCAAGCTGGCGAGTTGCCCGCGGGCGCTTCAGCTCGCATTGCGGCCATGGCGGTGCGGTGCGGAAACAGAGTGCACTGCTGAATGCTTTCCCCAGGAGCAAGGCTGAAAAACAGGCCCCCCCCAAGGGGATTGGCTCACAGTCCATTAGCGGGCGGGGGCAAGGGAGAGGGAGAAACTGTTCTACATCGCAGCGCGGCAGAGGCCGTCCGCATGCGCGTCCAGGCAGCAGCCCGGGCTGCGGTGCAGCGATGTGGCCCGCACGAGAGAGGACAAGGGGAAAAGCAGAGGGGCGGCCGCAGACGGAGGGCGGGAGCAGAGGGCGCCCTCGCGCCTCAGGGCCGCGGGGGGCGCGCGGGGCGGCCAGGCCACAGGATGGCCTCTGGCAGCGTGCGCGGGGCGGCATCGCGGGCGCACCCACGGGGAGGAGCCGGCGGCTGCGGTGCGCGGCGGGGGGCACAGCGAGTGGGGGCTGCGGGGGCGGCGGGCCGCCGGGCTGGCGGGCTGGGGGGCGCGGGGGGGGGGGGGCGGGGCAGGTGGTGGCCGCGCGCGGCAGCTGTGGTGGGCGGGGCGTGCAGCCCCGCGCCGGTGCGGCGTGGCGAGGCGCATCCGCAACCCTGGTAAAGGGAGGGCGGCGGGGCGGGGCGGGGGGCCAGGCAGAGCCCAGCGGCAGGAGGGAGCCAAGGCGCCCGGGAGAGGCAGAAACAAATGGAGGTGAAAACTGCTTTGGGGACTACCTGTTCGTAGGATCGTCGTCGTCGTCGTCATCGTCGTCGTCGTTGTCGTCGTCGTCGCCGTCGCCGCGTCGTCGTCGTCGTCGTCGTCGTCGTCGTCGTCGTCGTCGCCGCCGCCGCTCGGCCGCGCTGTGGGCGCCGTGGCCGCGCCCAGGACCTGGAACGCCAGCGGCAGGAGCTGGAGCGGCAGGCGAGGGACGGCCGCCAGCGCGGCGGTGCTGCCGCGGACGACAAGGCGGGCGGGCTACTCCTCTTTTTTGCCCCCCCCCCCCCCCCCTTCACCACGCCCCCACCTCCTCCTTCTCCTGCCACCTCGTCCATCTCCTCCTCCGCCCCCTCCTCCTCCTCTTCCTCCTCTCCTCCTCCTCGTCGTCTTGCGCCTCCTCCGCCTGCCCCCGCCTCCTCTTCCATCTTCTTCCTCCCCGTCCTCTTCCGTCTCCTCCTCTTCCTCCTTCTCCAAGTGCTTCTCCTCCTCCTCCTTCTGCTCCTCTATTTCTTATCCTTCCTTATAAATAATTCCTCCCTGTCGCACCCCAGGCCCAGTCGGAAGGGCGGGCTGGGCGTTTCGCCTGAGATTTTCCTTACCATGTATGATCCTGAAGCTTAGAATTGGCAGCAGTTTCTCACATGGAGGGCGGGTGATTTTCAAAATGTGACTCTCACCTTAGGGACGTGCATCTCCGTGGTAGCACAGTGTAAGCGTTTCACGGATTGAGGGCGGGCGGTCTTCAAATGTGGGTCTCGCCACAGTGCCGCGCGCATTCGTTTTCAAAGGTTGCAAAAGTTTCACAGACTGAGCGCGGGGGGTTTTCAACATGTGGCTCTCGTCTTAGCGCAGCCCACGTCTTAGCAAGTTGCAAGAGTTTCGCGGATTGAGGGCCGCTCCTTTCAAACATATGGTACTCGCCTTACCGCTACGCAAACTCGTCTTCAACATTCGCAGACGTGCCACGGATTTCCATGGCTGTCGTGCTAGAAGAACGTGTTTTGGAACGGCTCAGGATTGTCATAGCACAACGGTTACGTTGATTTGCGGTGTTGAGGTCTTAGGGTGGCGTTCTAGTGCGATTCAGGATCGCCAATACGCAACAGTCAGGTTTTTCGTGGCGCTGGAGTCCAGAGAACGGTGTTTCGGCACGCTTCAGGACCTTCAAACGGCTGTTCCCCAACGGGGCACTCTCTTCGGTGGAATGAGCTTGGCGGGAGGGGGTATTCCAACATCGTTCATGAGTCTTGGGTGTGCAGTGGTCCTCCTCCTCCTCCTCCCTCGTTTTTCTCCTCCTACTCCTTCTCCTCTCCCTCCGCCCAGTAGGGTGTGGCAGTTCTCAGAACCCGCCTGGAGCGCGGTCCTTTGGCCTCCCCAGGACCCGCCCCCAAAACCCCTCTTGAGGGATTTTTAGTGGGAGAGTTTTTGGGCGTCTCCGCTCCCCCCAGGACCCCTCCCTTCAGTTTTTAGTTTTTTTGGGTGGGGGGGGGGGTGGGGGTGTCTCCGCCCCCTCAGAACCCCCCGAAAACAATCCTTTGATTTGGGGGGGGGTCCCGAAAACCATCCTTTGAGGTTTTTTTTGTTGGGGTGGGGGGGTTTCTCCGCCCCCCCCCCCAGGAGAGAGATGGTGTTGGCGTGGCCCGTTGGGTGTTTGTGAGGCCTGGTGGGTATTTGTACTGCCAGGGGTGCTCTGGAGCTTTAAAATCGTGGCTTGCAGGCACAGGCCCAGACCCCCACCCATGAAGACAAAGCGCATACGACGAGCCTCTGGGGGCCTCTGACGAGCTCCTTGGGTTCTCCATAGAGCTCGTGGGGCCTCTGTAGAGCTTCTGGCGGCCTTCGAAGAGCCTCTTGGGGCCCAGAATGGTCGCGACAATGATGTTATCGAAGAACCAGCCAGCTCCTTTCTCAACGTGTTGATCCGTTGCAAAGAAGCGAGTGCTCTCTTCAACGTGTGGGGATGGTGGTGGTGGTGACGGACGTCGACGACGATGATGCTGGTGGTGGTGGTCGTAGTGGTGCTTGTGGCGATGATGATAGTGTTGATGCTGCTGCTGCTAATGATGATGATGATGATGCTGATGATGATGGTGATGGAGATGATGGCGAGGGTGACGATGACCATGAACATGACGGTGGCAGTGATGATGCTGCTGAGGATGATGATGACGAGTGCGATGATGACAATGACGATGATCATGAGTGTGATGATGACGGCGATACTAATGATGCTGCTGGTGATGGTGATGGTGATGGTGACTGTGATGATTTTTTTTATGTTGATGTCTTTGATGATGATGATGAAGATGAAGAAGGATATTATGATGATGAGGTTGTTGATCATGTTGACGATGAGGAGCTGGTGGAAGAGGTGGAGGGGGGTGATGATGATTATGCTGATGATGATGGTGATGCTGCTGCTGCTGATGATGATGATGATTCTGATGAGGGCAAAGGGCGCGCTGGAGGACGAAGAGGAGGAGGAAACGGAAATACGAGGCCGAGCGAGAGCTCGGAAGAGGATGAGCAGGAGGAGGCAGGAGGCGGAGGAGGCCAGGGATGGGGGCAGGAGGAGCATGCAGAAGGAGGGGCTGACAGGAAGGGAAGCAGGAGGAGGAGGAGGAGTGGGCAGGAAGGTAAGCAGGAGGAGTATGCAGCGTGCAGGATGAGCATGCAGAAGGAGGATCATGGTGCGGAGGACGAAGATTTGGACCAGGAGGGACAGGAGCAACAATGAACGATGAGGATGAATGAGAAAGGAGGAGGAAGGGGAAACGGTAGGAGCGAGAGGGACTTTCGTGGCCACAGCCTGGACAAGTCGGCCAGGGTGGTGTCCCCCTGCGGCATGATGGTTCTGTAATGTCACGGCGCATGCATCTGATATTCAGCTTCGGGCCATGTCGCCCTGGGCGTGATATCAGGACATGCTGACGCATTTCTCCCCTCTCGCTTCCTCCCTCTGTCCATCTTCGTCCTGGACCGTACGAGCTTGGCGGAGTCCCCTTCCCATCGTTTGGGAAGCTAGCAGTTTTCGTCATCGGGGTCTCCTCGGGGCCGAACCAAGAAATACACGTGCATAAGCGTGCGTCGCCGCGTCGTTTGTTGCGGCCCGCAGCCTTCCATTATGGCGAGGTCGCCGCGGCTACCAGGACAAACTCCAGCTCGGACGCAGGGCTTGCCGTGGGGTTTGCCGCGGTGCCGGCTGCGACTCCTTGAGGCGCGGGACACTGGATTTGCCGTGGGTTTGCCGTGGGCGCGTCGATAAAAAACGGCGCCGCGACGCGCACACACATACATACTCCGGGGGTGCAAACATACACGCACGTACATACACGTACACATACACATAGACACATACAGACATATACATGTATACACATGTACACATGACTATGCGCATACATATACATATGCTCGTGCATTTGCATTTACATATAATACATGCATAATGCAATTGCATATACACATACATAGCCGTCTGCATATATGTATACAATCACGTCTAAATTTGCAAGCGCATATCCATACGCATGCACATATACATGTACACATACACATACTATGCATGTCCATATTTATATTCCGATCCGTATCCATATCCACATCCATGCACATACCCATACACATACACATGCACGCATACTCATATATATATATATATACGTAAATACATACATGCACACCGACCTACCTACCTACCTACCTATCGACTTACCTAGCTACCTACCTATCTACCCACGTACCTACCTACTTACCTACA